TAAAAATATTAAACTGTCTTTTTTTTTGTTTAGGGCCTATTGTTTGGAGTATAAAAAGTACCTCATACCATTATTTTATGAAGATTCCAGGGAAGTTTAGTTTTGGGGTGTGTGTATTAAAAAAGTAAAAGGCAGGAAGCTGAAATTTGGGGATGTTTTAGACTAGCCACTTTGTTGCAGAAGGGTGAGTTGGTTGAACAGCTTATGTGTACATTACAATACAAAATGTGAGCTAGGAGGATGGCAGTTACTCTACACTGTGAAATGAGGGCTATGGAAAGTCTATCTCCATCATTCTATTATAGTTCCTGCTAGTTAAGGATAGTGAACTATATATATTGGACTACAAAACCATAAGTGTGGCCACTCATAAATAAGAATTATAGCAATTGTCTTCCAAAACATCTTAAGGACAGCCAGGCTGTGTACCCTTGAACCAGTAGGCAGGGTACTTAACAACTTAAGAAAGTGACAGATGGATAGTTGTAATGAGTGAAAATGTATGTGGAGAAGCCATGAGACTATTTAGTTTTTAGGTCACTGACACAGGTTGTTATGATGCTTCTAAAACAAAATGTTTAAAATTTTGAATTATTGTTTTAGCAAGCATGTATAACTTATAGCATGTATAATTTTATGCATGTATAACACTCATGTTCTTCAAAAGACAACAGTATCTGTGCAGTTTTCTGTGCAAATATTAATGTGCATGCTGCAGATCTTTTCCATATTTGTGTGTGCAGGTGTATGTACACACACCCACATACTCAATGTAATCCTTTTTGCAAAACTATGGTATTTTACCAGCATTTGCTTTCCCCATCAGTGTCTATTTTTAAAACCTACTATTCAAGCTTGCAGTTTAGAAGGCTTTCATCTTCCCTGCCTTTTTCCTCCTCCTTCAAAAGATTTCCATGCCAAGTATGTTTTAATGTTCAGGCCTGTTGGCCTACACAATGAGATAAAGTAAAGAATATGGATTTAATAGGTTTTGCTTTTTGAAAAATTTTGGGAGGAAAATGTGTAGTGCTAGAAGGAGAAAATTACCACCACTTGTAATACTGCTTGGTTGGTACTGTATTTTATATTTTGACAGAATATATATTAAGAACTTTTTCAGTGGCTATATTATGACACACAAAGTTTTTGCACATCATGATGAAATTTCTACATTAAAATTGTGTAATCCTAGGGCCAGGCTAAGTAACTTCTGGTGAATGAAAGTGTAAGATAATGCTATAAATGGTATTAAAAATAGTGACTGTCTTGTTAGTTACAGGGTCCTTGTTCTCATTCATAGCAAAGTAGTATACTTTTTCTTAACACACGGTATGCATTGAGGTCAAAATTGGTGCAAAACAGGAGTGGTTAAAAGTTAGCCAAGCTGCATGAATGTTAACGGAACTGAACTAATATTGAAACTATTGTGGGAGTAGAATTGGTGGTGGCTGAGATAGCTTGAGACAAGAAAATGTTTTATTGGACTTTCAGTTTACAAATGTGTCTTGCATTTGTTAATGAAAATTACTGAAATATGATACTTAGGTATGCTGTAGTGTAATACTCTATAATATTTTGTAGAGTATCAACAAAATATGTTGATACTCTAATGATATAATGTAGTCATTTTGTGTAATTATGTTTCTATTTAGTAATTGAACCTTGCATTTTATTATACAGTCAGATATCATACCTTGCAAAGTCATGTGTGCATTATGCTACCAGTGCTCGCTCGCTCGCTCTCTCTTATCTGTCTGGTGTATTTATCTACCACCCCATAACCCATGGGCTCATGGGTGGCTGACAGTTACTAAAATTATAAATATAATTGATATAATTGATAGAATACTAATAAAAGCATTATAAACAATGTACTCATAAAATACTATAAAACGAGCAATATGACAACCAAGAACTAAAGGACAAGCAAGCACAACAGCAGTTTATAAACCGTATTTAAAATTGGCTCAGCAATAAGACACATAGACTTAACCATAAAGTATTTAGATACTAAAAAGGTTTTCACCTGCCAAGAATGGTGCCAGCTGCACCTCTCTGGAATTATGTTCTAGAGATGGGGTGCCACTGCTGACTAGTTGCTATCCCCTTGCTTGTGGGGGTTGCCCCTGAGAAGGATCTCAACAGATGATCTTAAGGGTTGGGTAGGAACATATGAAACAAGGCATTCGTTCAGATAACCTGGCTCCAAGCCAGAATTTTCTGTGGCTTTCCCACTTCCAGCATACTTACTGTTCAATTCTTTTCAAATTGAAGTCACACACAATCTCTGTAAAACAACAATCCTTCTTCCCAACTCTTCCTTCTTTTTAAAAGTTCTAGAGATGAATCTGGAACACTAATATTCAAGCAGTTTTTGAGGAAGTTAATTATCACATTGTGCATCTTTGCATGCTTGGAAAGAAACTGATGATATTCAATTGAAACTATATACTGCTGTTTTCTCATGACTTTTCCAAGATACACGCAGTCACAGTTTGTCACATTTGGCCTCCTGTGGTTGTGTAAATGCACTGTAAACTCCAGGAAAAAAAAATTGTGCTTCATCCTGGACACCATCATTGTTTCACGCATCAAAAAATGACTGCAGTATTAGGGATTTCAAGGGCTTGTTGTATATAAAAGCACTTCCACTGCTCTCACAAATGAAATGGATTCTCTAGTGTGACTGTTTGTGTCATGAGTTAGAACAGGGGCATGCTGAGAGGTCTTTCATGGTTCTTCAGTAGCTCTGAAATGCTCTTCATCTCAGAGTTGCATGTCTTCTAGGATTGCTATTAGACTTTTTACTTCTTTAAGGTATTAATGATTGGGGACAAGTAAGGTCATCTTAACAGTATATTCAAAATATATAAAGCTGAACAATATTAAAATACTTTCAGACTTGGATGGCATTTGTTTTTTCTATTTTGGTTTTTTTTAAGTCTATTGTCTGCCTGCGGACCCAGTGCTGTGTGCAGAGCTAGCTCTTCTGGCAGCAACCTGAAATGAGTAGAAATGCTCATTTCTGGATTAGGGCAGGTCAGCAGAGCTTGCAGAGGAAAGCAAACCTAACCTGTCCTGATCAGGAAATAAGCATATCCACTTATTTCCATGGGTGCTTCTAGAACCACCCTGTCCCTATAGCATGCAAAGTGGTCTCTGTTTGTATGGCTGATGAAACCAGGAGCAGAGCAACAGTATTGAATACTGCCCAGTAAGATTTGGTTCTAAGTGTAAAAATGTGAAATGAAATAATGTTTACAATTACAGGTAAACGTGCAAAAAGAAAATGCTTTCAGGCATAATGGTGATTTTTCTCTGTGCATGCCTGTGTATGAAAGAGAGAGAAGTAACCCCCCCCACACACACACATACCACACACACATTTTCTAAAGTTGCAAACTGAACCATATGACAATAACTTATATATAAATACAGTGAATTTAAAAGAGCTGTAAATCTGTTCTTTCATAATAGACAGCAACTTGTTTACTAGTTTTGAAAAAGTATGCACATCGAATTAATCTGTGGTATTTGGGCCAGAGTGTACCCGCATTATGCAAAGAGAAGATTAAGAGTACTCAGTATAAAGCTATGATCCACTTTACTCTTGATTTTCAGACACAATCAACCAAATCAACCAAGAACAAAACTAGTGAAGAGGTTATGTTCTTCAAGTTCATTTGCATCTTTATAAGGGGAAAGTCTGCCAGAATAGTAAATCTCACAGCACCTAGTGCATTATATCTTCTGTGTCTTGGCACAAATCAAAAGATTATGGCTGGAGAAAAAAAGAGTTAGGGAAGCAAATGTGCATCAGCTCAGTGATAAACTCCTCCAGTGATTAACTTTTCAGCTAGACCTGTTCTGGTCATCTCAGCAGATGTATTCAGCTCCTTGACTAACCTCTTCCTCAAGGCCTTTAAAGCAGAAGGACCAGAGATATGCAAATGGTTTGAAATGATAGCAGCAGGGAAGTAATCTCAACTAATTTTCTTGGGTACAAGGAGAAAGGCAATAGATGGTTGGTGGTCTTTCTCATCTCTCCAAGGAAACTGACAGGATCGGAAGAAGAATTAATAATAGTGCTTCACATGAATTTCCAGGTTCAGTGCAGGAGAATGGGACATGAGCATAAAATTAATGGCAGATATCTCTCCTGGCTCCTCTTTCTGTCTCACTGATATTAAGACCAGAAAGGAAGGAAGCTAATCAAGCATGGCAGACTGTGAGGGGAGAGAAATTAGTGTGCAAGGGTCAGAACACTGATATGTGAGTAAGTAAATGGATAAGCGCAGAAAGAGCCTCAGAATGGTGATCCTCAAAGAATTTATGCCCTGATATAATGTGTCCAGTATGTTTCAGTATATCATGCCTTTATCCCTGAGAAATAGCAAACACTATATTAAAAGCAATGAACATTAAAATGTAAATACATTCTACATATTACATAAAATATAAGCAGCCTTTGTATAGTGGAGAGCAAAGCCTGTTTTAGCCAAAGGCCTGAATTCCAGTTCAGAGAAACAATTACGGACCACATTCCAGTGGAAGGTACACCCTGAAAGCAAGGAGAATAGAATAAAAGGCAAAAAGAGGAAGGTGCAAGAACTCAAACCCCTGACCTCTACCAGCACTTTGTAACTTAAAGTTCTATCTACAAGTATCAAAGCTTCAGGAAAATCATTTCAGCCTTTGTGAATGGGAAACAAACTACATAAAAGCCCCCTCCAAAACAAACACAAACAACCCCCCCTCCATAGAATCTTGGAGGACCAGCATTGTCTCCTGAGATTCTGTACCCATGGTGAATAGCAGCTGCAGTCTAAGATCAGTGAGAAGAGTTGGTATTTGATTTGGAATACAATGGAGGGGGGGGGGGAATGATCAGTCCCTGATTTTTTCTTTTATTGAGTGGTTGAACTTCATATACACATGCACACATGTCTATATTATATAATTTTCTCTGTTTCATAAAGATGTATTTTATTTCATTGCAGAAAACTATAGCAAGGTGGTTGGATATTTCAAGACTCAGAGGATTTTTACATCAAAGAAAAATAAGAAAAGGCTTTTATATTTATTCAGTAAGTACAACTTTCCATTTAAACTTTCCTGTTTTCATTTCTATGTACTATTAATGCCCAATTGAATTTGACATGACAGTAAGAAGGAGCAAAATGTTTGCATCTGAATTTTGAGAATTTGGAAATCATTAGTCCCAGATTATTGTAAGCAGACCAGTTTTAGTAAAATTTAGAGTTCAGGATGCCGCTGACTCAAGAAAGGTACCTTTTAGTTGTGGCAACTCACGTTTGGAAGTTTTTTTTTCAAAGATGCTTGCATTGGCTTCAGTATCTATGCTGAGGCCACCTTGTCACCAGCCTCTCAGGGCAAGTTGGGATAGTCCCCATGCTAGGAAACAACGTGTCATGGGCCAAGTATACCTTGAGGTTCTTGAGGGTTTAGTGTTTTCATCAGGTTAGAATGAGGTAGGTCAGGATGTATAGAATTCCTCTTTAACTTCCTTGTTATGATCAGATCAATTCCTGATGTAGGAATTTAGGTTTACTGCAGTTTCTTCTCTCAATGGAGAAAGTCTAGTTCGAATGGTCTGCCCACAGTGTCTTGTTTGGAAAGAGTTTTGACTTCTGTTGATGCCCTGGTCACTCTTTGGGATGTGGAGATGATTCAAGTAGCTAGCAGGATTGACTCTTACTGTTGTCTTACAGGATAGGGGTTGGTTTGAGTCCTTGGTTCATAATGGAGCCTACAGCTATGGGGCTGGTGGGCTGACAAGAACGCAGGTGAAAAACAATGTGAAACCTGCTCTATATATCTGACCTCATTTTAGAGCATAATTGGGCAATTTGTAGACCTCTGTGTGTTCTGGCATACAGCTCTCACCTTCCCTAGCTGGCATAGCCAGTTATAGGGGATAATAGGAGTTGCAGGCCAAAATTTCTGTCTTCATAAGAAAGCTTTAACATAAACAAAAGGAACAATGTTGTTACCCTTTTGTGCCAGAAAAAAGCATTGTGGAAACTTGCCCTTAGTGGAAGGATGAGGATTATATTTGGGTTATTCTATGTTATTTTTGTTTTGTTAAGTCAAAAGAGAGTTGTTTATTTGGAGATGAACTTTAGTATTTAAGCACAATAGCCAAAAGGCTGCAGATTTTCAAGGGCTTGTTTGTATATGTGTTGTTTTGAACCAGTGATGACCACAACTGAGAAAAGGTGGTGTTGTCTGTTGCATTGTTGCTTCATATATACGTTGTTTTCCTACTCAGAGATAAGCTATATGTAGGAAAAGATGCACTTGTTGTCACATAAGGATTACTGTGTAAGTGTATTTTACTATATCACAACAGGCTGGAAAGCCTTCTGGCTGAAACCTATGCATGTGATTTTTTTTAATGACAAGGAACAGTTTTAATCCTTCAGTTGCTTCAAATGTTATGTCATGTTTCAATTTGAACCTGTACTTTCTTATTTTCTAGTATACCTAAGGCAAGGCAGCATGTTCAGCCAAATTTATTTGTATAGGACATAAATCACTCATTTCATGGTAGTGATGTTATTTGTAAGTTAATATATTGCTTACAACACAAGCATATTTGTGACTTGTGTTCTGAATATTTTTGAGCTTACAGAGAATTTGATTTTTCCTGGTCAAAGTTCATTAAATTTTTTGGCCTATATTTTAATTTAATTTTGATGCAGAAGTCAGTAGTGTCTTCACATTTATTGACAAGAATTTTTTGCCTACTGTTGTTTACCATAGATTTTATTGATCCCGTAAAAATTAGGACATAAATCACTATCTCTTTACTTATCTGCTGTATGCAGATAACACTACCCTGTGGGATTTTTCCATTATGGAAACACTGATGAGGCAAAATGTCTGGTAGAAATGTGGTAATGAAGCCTTAGTACAGAGTAATGTTCTGTGTTTTCTAGAAAATACAGCCTGAGCTTGATTTTTCTTTCTTTATGTACTTGTTATATAGACTTAGAAGTGGGGTTTGTGGCAACCTCAGTTGGGGAACACTGCTCTTGATCCATTATTTCTAGGCTTTTATGTGACTTTTCCTCTTCCTCCTTTACATAGAACTTCAGATTAGTAACAGTGAGGATACTACATTAGTACCAAGGAAAGTAGCAAGCGAGCAGTACTTCCATCTTTCTTTGATTCTCCCTACACAAGTAGTTTCTGCCAAGTGAACATAGTTAATTCAGTTGTCAACTCTCATAGGTCACAGAGGAGAGAAGATTTTTCTGTTTTTTACTTTGCATACAAAGTTATCCAACCCAGAACTAACTTTCTTGGATGTGGAATTGTTACCTAGTGTTGTGTGTCTTAAACTTTCCAATAGGCCCAGTTCTATCTGCTTTCATCCACCTGTCCTTTCCTCCCTTCTTGTTTGTCTTCTGCAGATGAATTTGCTGAGATCCTTGCAAATAGTTGTGGAAGGAGAACAGTACGAACAATGCTGTAAACTGGCACGATAGGGCAAGGAATAGTATCTCGTACCTCTTGTTAAAACCACGTACAGGAAAATAGGAAGAGTAGCTGCTTTGTCCTCATGAATTTTCTTCCCAAATCAGTCTAAGAGGATAGAGTTGTCTCATTCCCACAAACCAATTTTCTAACAAGATCATTCTACCCGCCCAATTCCCATAAGGAAGCTCTGCCATCTGCTTCCAGATCTTCCTTCCCAAAACTTTGTTCTAGCCTAATATGCAGTTTGGGAATCTAAGATCAAGTTCATTTCTTTGTAGGAATTTATTATCTCTACTGGGACTTGAGACAGTTGGCCAGAAGAGTGATTGCTGGCTGTTTGTCACTCTTTGCCATGTGATAGTTTCAAAAAGAAATGGCAAGTCAAAATGAAACTACAGAAAGGTGGTATTTTAAAGTCTAAATTTATCTGATAACTGGAAGAAAATATGCCCAAGTATACAAATCAGAGAGCAATATGAGGGGACCGAAAATGAAGTGGGAGAAGGCAAATTTTCTGTTTCCATACTCTGAATAATTTTTTCTTGCCACTATAGTTGGACACCTCCTGCTTCTGTTTTTATTTTTAAAATGTAAATGCATTTAACTCGCAGATGTATTACACAGCAGAACACAGGGAAATATAGAGAAAATTCTAGGGTAAAAGTTTAAGCAGTATTCTTCTGAGGATGAATTAAAAATATCAGAGTCAGGATCCAGGCATAATAGATCAATTGAAAGCAATGTGACTTAGTTATGGTTATATCATAGAACATTGATCTGATTGGATGGAAGTATTTTATTTATTTATAACATTTGTAGCTTGCCTTTTTTTTCTTTCCAAGAAACTCAAGACAGCTTACATAATTCTCCTCCTCTCAATTGTATCACAACAACCCTGTGAGGTAGGCTGGGCTGAGAATCTGTGACTGGACCAAAGACAGTGAGCTTCATGACCTAGTGGAGTCAGGAACACAGATTGCCTGAGTCCATTGCACTGCTGTAGTCTAATTATTTCAGGATTTGGTGCTAAGTACTGATACCATGGGCAAAAACTGTGTGCCTCTTTTGCCATTGTTACTCTTTCCTTCCATGAACAATGCCTGTGAAGGTACATAGATCTGTTTTTATCTCTATTTTGCATTTTTTTTTAGTGATACTTGATACTGGTGAAGTTCAGAGCAGTGCTAAATGTTCTGCCTGTACCTTGTGCATTGGTTGGAGTTCTCCCATTTGCACGTCATACTGCTCTAGGGAGCATCTAATATATTGGAGAACTACCTGCTGCTAATTCCTCTTGATTCCTGATGGCAGAAAACTGATACACAGATTCGATGTATAGCTGGACAGGAAGGAGAATCAGAAGAGCCCAATTTGTTAGGCTGGAGTATTGTACTCTTTGTGTGGTATATTTTGAAGCTAGATTACTCTTTGATCTTAATCATGTACACTTGGAAACAATATGAAACTATTTTAATGGAATTTAACTTCCTAGTAAGATTGTATTCTTAACCCCATAAAATTAGTAGAAGCAAACTGATCTAATTTAGTTCAACTAGTTTGTGAATTCAGCTCTATTTTCATAACAGAAATTTATTTATTTATTTATTTATTAAAACATTTTTATGCCGCCCCATTCGCCGAAGCCTCGGGGCGGCTTAATTAATGATACATGCTTAGCATAGTGTATTTACTATGAATAAAAAAGTACAATTTAGCAAAAACTTGTAATAAGTAGGACCACGCTCCTGCATAGGCATGCTTGCACAATGGCTCTTCCTATAGTGTGCCATGTGGCTGCAGTATGTGTGTGTGAAACAGCATCCGTAGAACAGGTAAAGCTAATTGTGTGTGTGTGTGTTTCAAACCTGATTCACACAGATAACCAAGTGATAGTGCTATTAAAACATGGTACTAGCTGCCCAATACTTGCAGCAGGGGAATGGGATGGGGTGGGCACTAAAGTTCCTTGAGACCAGAGGGGCTTAAGGATTTGTGCAGTTTACTTATTTTAAGTGGACCTAGTTGAAGAAATTTCTGCTGGATTTTATGCACAGATTTTTTAATCTTGTTTTGTTTTTAGCAAGCCTATAAAATAAGTTATGAACCCCAACAGTGTAACAATAAGGCTTTTATCCAGTGGAATAGGACTTCCCATTGTCTCCAGTGTGGAACTGCAGGTACAGCAGAAGGACAGGATGTGAATGACATATATCACCAGAAGTTTCTATTCCTCTGGCAGAAAGACACTGTTGGATCCAATGGTTTATGAGAGTAACAGCATCACTGTACTGTGTCAGTGGTGGCATCAGTAACAGACTTGTGCACAAAATAGTTTGTTTCTCTACTTGAATGTTTCAGAAGACTATTGCTATAAATGGATATAACAAACTGAACACAAACTTGAAATTAGGTACTCTTCAATTGCTAGATAAACAAAGAACACTCAAGAGAATTTAGAAATACATAGACCCATAGAGTTGGAGGAGACCTCAAAGGCTATTCACACCAGCCCCTGTTGATGCAGGGAATCCACTATTTTAGTGTCCCTGATATCTGGCCATCTAACTTCTGCTTAAAAACC